CCATGTTAATTAGCAAACCCTCTAATGTGGATTTTTAAAAAAGACTTATTTATTTTTGAGAGAGAGAGTACAATCTGGGAAGGGGCAACGAAAGAGAGAGGGGGACAGAAGATCCAAAGCGGGCTCTGCGCTAACAGCGGCAAGCCCAATGTGGGGCTCAAACTCACAAACCGTGAGATCATGACCTCAGCCAAAGTCAGATGCTCAACCAACTGAGCCACCCAGGTGTCCCTCTAATGTGGATTTTAATATTTGACACTCCACTCTGGAGTGTCAATTTCTGATTAGGATTCTTCAAACACCTAGCACTAGTGGGAATACAATAGCATTAATTTGTACACATGTTTATCACCTCATACTGAAGTTAATTTTGAAGTGAATTATCTCATGGGCATTGTAACAGTCATAATGAAGAAGCACATCAATATATTTTATTTTAAGGTCTTTGTAGCAACCTTTTTTATTTTAACTAGAGGGAAAGATAGATAAAGAATAATTTGTACTGACTTAAATTTAGAATACAAAAGAAAACCGGGAAAGGCCACTGTGCTATGTATAGAAGCTTCAGAAGCAAGTAAGGAAAAACGAAATTAACCCTTAGAATGAGTTCCAAGGGAGAGAGGATCATTACACTTCCCCAGATTATTGAAGAGACCTTGGTGGTGCATGTACCACAAATATCGGAGGAAACTGAGAAGCAATACAGAGCACATGACCGTGGCCACCAAGCTGGGAATGTTAAATGCTCTCAGCAATACCTAGGTCCATGGCTTAGTACAAGCAAATGTGCTTCTGCTTTGATTACCTTTGAAATTTCTCTGAGGGTTCAATAGATGACTCTGCAGTCTCCTCCTTCAGGCTGCTTTCAACTCAACTTTATTACTGTGACAAGCAATTTTTATTGATAATTAATCAAATAGTGGGATGAAGAAATGCATGCCTTTTATGGGAAAAAGAAATAGCACAGCTTTTCTAGTTAAGCTGGTTTGTTTACCCAGTCTTCTGGGCTGAGTTGTGTTCCCTCAAAATCCGTATGTTGAAATCCTAACCACCAATTTGTCAGAGCGTGACTATATTTTGAGATGAGGTCTTACAGAGGTAATTAAGTTAAGATGAAGTCATCAAGATGGGTCCCTATTCAGTATGACTGGGGTCTATAAGAAGGGGAACTTCGGACATAGATCCGTACAGAAGGAAGACCACGTGAAGACAGTCAGCTAGAAGCCAGGGAACAGGGCCTTGGAAGAAACAGACTCTGCTGACACCTAGATCTTGGACTTGTAGCCTCTCGAATGGCGAGAAAATAAATGTCTGTAGTTTAAGTCCCCCAGTCTAAGGGATTTTGTCACAGCAGCCAGAGCAGACTAATACATCAGGAGTCTTACTGTCACCATTGTCCCGAGTGGAAGCAGATGAAGTGAGGATGGATCATTTGCACAAAGTGAGGTAAGTGAGGAAACCCTCAGGAGATAGTCTAGGGCACTGAGTCTGACGCCCATTGAGGAGGGGGCAGTCACCACCATCTTGTCTCAAGGAGCAAGGAGAGGGAGTGGGTCCTGGAACTCAGAAAAGATGTTTCTGTACATAGAGAGATGCCTGACAGGTGCTGGCAGAAGGAGAGAGGAAAAGACATGCTCTGATCTTGTATTTCTCTTTCTCTCCAGTCTTCAGCCAATGCTTCCCATGGACCCGCCCAACTAGTAGCCAGAGGGCAAGGATGCCTGTTGAAGCATCGGGAGAGGACAGGCTGGGTCTCCGAGCAAGGTGAAAAGGGGTAGGGAGTTGATATAAAGAGGCAAATGGAAACTCTCCAGCTAGGGGTATATCTGGATTTTTAATAGAGGCACACTTTCCTCACCTTAATTTTCTCTACTCAGCTCATGGGTTATCGGAGGTTCTGTAATCTGTGGAATAATGAGAGTCCATTTCCATTCACTAATGGACCTGATACAGGTTTCAGAATATTCATGCCAATAGTGCACTACACCCAATGGGGGCAGGGGTATGCAGGAAGGTGTGGGGGACAGGAAGCAATAATTGAAGCCCTCTTCATTAGCGGATGGGTGTGTCAGAGATCTAGTGACATAGAAAGATCCACAAAGTGAAAGTACAAGGTTTAAGTAGATTGTGAAGTAGTAGAATATTTGAAGGTCAACTATGATAATTAAAGATACATACTGTAATTTCTAGAGCTATGTTCCTCAAAAAACCTTTCCACAATGATGGAAATGAGCTAAATATGTGCTGTCCAGTTGGTAGCCACTTGCCACATGGAACACAGGTCTAGTGTGAGGGTAAAACAAATCTGAGAAAGAAAAGATTCTATTTTTCTTGGTGCGAAAAGGGAGAGACTTTCCCTCTTTCTCAGAGCATTTACTTTAGAAAACTTGTAACTGCTAATTCTTTCTCTGCCCCTTTCTGATACTATAGAAACCTTTTTTAAAATTATTTTTATTTTTATTTTATATAAGGAGAGGGAGCAGAGGGAGAGAGAGAATCCCAAGTAGGATCCACATACATACAGCATGCAGTCTGACGTGGGACTCGATCCCACAACCTGATCATGACCTGAGCTGAAATCAAAAGACAGATCAGATGCACAACTGACTGAGACACCCAGGTGTCCCAGATACTATAGCAATCTTTTTAAAACTGAATGAGCTTTTTGTCACCTTTACAAGCAGCATTGCCTTTATCTAAAACCTGGGAGCCCTCTCTTTGAACATCAGAAGTATGAACATTAAAGAAGATACACTTCTACCTCCCCTTCTCCATGGGCATCTGGCTGTAACTAGTTACCTATCATAAAGGTTTAGATAAGGACAATCGGCCACACAATGGCCACCCCGATCCAGGTGAATTTAAGATGAGCTGTGTAGGACCAATGATATTGGCAAGTCTTGATTGAAGACAAATTTTCTTTACCTTGTGAACATGGATATAATGGGTTGTGACTACCTGGCTATCTATGAAATTTCTGTCTGCAACTTCTTTGTAGGTTGCCTGCAGTGCACATACCATTCTGGCATAATGCTTAGTCAATAATAAAGCTGTTTTCTTTCTCTTCTACTCTTGTGGAGAATTTTTTTTTTTGGTTGGCAGGAAGTATTTTTTATTGGATTTTCTCAAGAACAACCAGTTAAAAAGGCCAATAGAAGAGCTATGGTGGAATCTAGACCATTCAATATGCAAAGGAAGGCAGGAAAGGAACATAGAAATGAAAAAACAGATGGGACCAAGAGAAAACAAATACCAAAATGGAAGGCTTAAGCTCATCAATATGAATAATTGAAATAGACTAAAACCTTCCGTTCAGTCTGAAAGTGTTAAAATAGATAAGATAGGAAGACCCATCTCTATGTTTATAAGACATACATTATAAAGTTGAGAGTAAAAAGGTCAAAGATATACTATCCAAACACTAAGCATAAGAAAGCTGGTATGGCAATATTAATGTTAGGCAAAGCAGATTTCGAGACAAAGAATATAATCAGAGACAGAGTGATATCCCATGAAGATAAAAGGGTCAATTCTTTAAAGAGACACAGTAATGAGAAATGTGCTTATACCATTAATGCAGGGGAATCCAGTTTAAAAAAAAAAAAAGGGAGCAAAACTAGAAAATATTAAAGGAGGAATAGGCAAAACCACAATCAACCGGAGATTTTAATATCCCTCTCTCAGCAATTAATAGAAAGAGTAGACCAAAAAATCAGTAATGGTATAGAAGACTTGAATGACACTAAAATAGTGAAGCCAAGAAATTTTGGTATGTTGAAGAGGTAAGATTTAATTATCTTAATGTTGGGGCGCCTGGGTGGCTTAGTCGGGTAAGCGTCCGACTTTCGCTTAGGTCATGATCTCGCGGTTCGTGGGTTCGAGCCCCGCGTCGGGCTCTGTGTTGACTGCCAGCTCAGAGCCTGGAGCCTGTTTCAGAGTCTGTGTCTCCCTCTCTCTCTGACCCTCCCCTGTTCATGCTGTCTATCTCTCTCTCTCCTAGAAATAAATAAAAATTAAAAAAAAAAAAATAAAAAATAAAAGAAAGCTTTCTTGAAAAAAAAAATTATCTTAATGTTATTTGAAACCCTTCATTTCTAGGTGGTACTTGATAAGCAACACCTTACCATATACATTCTGATGTGGTGGTGGTTGGAACATGGTCTGTAGAGGTTCATGAGAGCAACCAAAAATTGTCCCTGTGTGCCACTTGGGGTGGGAGTCCTGAGGGCACAGAAATACAACATGGTCTTTATGCTTTAGGATGTCTGGATGCACCAGTGTTGTGAAATCTTTATTAATGTGACATTATAGTGTGGGCAGAAACTCTAATCATTTCCCTTGTCAACTGTAACAAGTAACTAAAACAGCTTTTTAACATTCATTGAATGATTGGGTTTGATGTGCAAGCTTTCTGTGGCTGAACCCAGCAGCTTACTCCAGTGTCGCTTTGTGGGCAGAGAGCAAACTCCAGTCCCTTAGGAACAAGGTTGTCAGACTGGGCAAACAGAGATACAGACACTAACGCTAAATTTGAATTTCAGATAAACAACAGATCATTTTTCAAAATACATTTTTTTAATGTTTTAATTCTTTCTGAGAGAGAGAGACAGCATGAGTAGGGGAGAGTCAGAGAGAGAGGGAGACACAGAATCTGAAACAGGCTCCAGGCTCTGAGCTAGCTGTCAGCACAGAAGCCGACACAGGGCTCGAACCACGAACTGTGAGATCATGACCTGAGCTCAAGTCAGACGCCTAACCGACTGAGCCACCCAGGCGCCCCTACTATGGGATATATTTACACTAAAATACGCCTGAAATTAAAATTTATGTGGGCCTTCTGGAGATGATGCTCTTTTAAAGAGGCTGGCTGAGTTGAGTGTAAGCAGTGCTAATTCAAGTGCAAAGTCGAACAAACACTTTCTTTTGGGTGCTGTCTCCTTTAACGCACAACTACGGTCCTTGTAAAATATGATGGGACAATAAAAAGCTATGGAAAAGAGTTGCTCTAAAGGCCATCTTTTTATTTAAATATTTTACGATGAAACACCTACAGATATAATCTCCTGAGGAACAAATGTAAGACCTCATACAAATCATCGTTTCAGGTACAAAAAACCATTTAGAAAATGTGATTATGTTACATATAAGAGGCAAGTTAGGTTTTCCGGGTCTGTCCAAGGAGGACGGTTAAGACCAACTTTGGTTTGTGTGAAGTACACAGGTCACGTTTACAGCTCACACAGCAGTGATGTGCCTGTTGTGCACGTGGCAAAATATAACTACTGAGTCTACAATGAAAAAAATCAGCAATTACTATGAAGAGAGTAAAAAATTTAGATCATGGAAGATCGACCTTCACCTTGGCTACAGACTTATGATATTTAAAAACATTTGCCTTTTACCCATAGACAGTCAGTCGGTAGGAGTAAAACATGTCAGTCTTAACACAATTCAAGTCAAAAATACTTCTGAAAAAAGAATCTTTAAAGATTCATTTCCCTAGCAAAATGTCTTGAAAAATCACAAAATTACAGTATTTAAAATTATGAAAATTTTTTGTTGTGGGAAGCATTTACATAAATGGCTATTGATAGGCATACATAAACGTTGAAACTTTAAATGTCCTATTTCTTCAAGGAGCAATGAAAACACAATCTGCTTACAGGCCAAAATACCCAAATAACTTTTCACAGTGAAAGGCCAGGATATCGTACAAATTCAGGTTTTCTTCAACTGAGTAACATTCATGTAGTCATGATTGGTTGGTCAGTCAGTGACTTTGGGATGTAGAATAAAATCATAATCTCAAACTCATAATTACTGATAACATAGGGTTTTTCAGTATTTTTTTTTTTTGCAGTTATAAATAAAAGAAAATGGTTTCCAAAATTTGGTTTAATTTCACAAATACTTATTTGGCACTCGTGTTATGCACTGAGGATAAATAGCAATCACACAAGCAGGTGCGTCTCACAGTGGAGAATCCAGTCCAGTGGCTAATTTAGCTGTACAAAATTAGAAGATAATGTATCTTGAGTTTTTAGAAAGTAGTATATTACTACTATAAAAAATAAAGCGATTTTATATTTATGAAGTTTTCCTGGGATTATTCAAGTGAAGTTGAAGTGTTCATCATTTTCATGAGTTTGGGGAGGCAAAGGGAAGCTGTAATGCTATTTTTTAAAGTCCTGCCACACACACGCATGGAAATCTATAACGTGTGTTCTTTATCATGCCAAGGTTCCATAATTTGGTCAACCTAACAGATTAAAAGGCCAGGCTCCTCACCTGAAAGAAACAAGCAAAACCGGTTGTCCAGACTGCACGCATGTTTTTGGATAACCATGTGGATACTGTGCCAGGTGCAGTACAGCGTGGAATACAGCACAGCGATGTTGGCCGTGAACGCAGAATGTGAAGACGCCCTGTCAGTTTCAGGGATGGCTCGCCCGGAGAGCTGGCGCACTGGGCACTCTGTGTCAGTTTGGCAAACTCTTATGGGCCAACCCACTCCCTCTTTAACTTGGTGAACACCTTCTGGCCATAACTCACTAAAAGGCACTTAAGACACTGCCTCATCGTTATGCCCCCAGCGAACCCTGAAGCGTTTGTGAAGGACACACTTGGAGGCTGGGACAGCGACGTCGGCTGTGTGTTAGTGACTGGGAAAAGGTCCAAGCCCCGCGCGTCTGTCTCTCACGTCTGGAGGCTCATCCAAAGAGAGGCCCGCTGGAAACACGAGGTCAGTCCCTGCCTGGCAGCTAAGCTTGGGGCCAGACGGCAGTTTAGGAGTAAGAATGCTGCACGACGCTGTGCTTAGTGAGTCTGGTGGAAGAAGTGGTTATGGTAGAATTAGAATGACCAGACTCCTCTGAACTGAAATTTGGCAGAGGGCCGGGCCCTCTGGCTCCAGAAACCTCTGTCTTTCTGGTCATCGCAGAGGTTTCGGCAGGAATCTGGTAACTGGATTGCAAGGTGGGGGCAGCTGTTCGCACTCTTTCTGTCACTGTCACTTTCTGTCCTGCTGTCACACCAGGCACGGCCAGAGTGGGCTGCACGCCTGGGCTGGGGGCTAGGAAGCTCTCTCTCTCCCTCACCATCACATAGTGTGCATCTGGCAGAAGCTGGGTGCCTTCCAGGGGACCAGGGATGCCCCCGTTAGGCTGTATTATCCTCTCGGTAACCACGACGTCACCGTCACCAGCATAGTGCTGGTCTACCAAGGGAGGGGCTGGCGCGTACACCCGCTCTGTCACAATGAGGGCCTGTGGCTGTCCCGGCCCCAGGATCACGGTGCTTGCTGGCATCGTGGAGCCTGCGGCATAGGAAGTTTCTGTCACTACAACATTACCGGAAGCCAAAGGATCAGGGAGCAGTGTGGCTACCTGCTGACCCTGTCTAGAAGATACAGACCTTTCAGTGACTATTTCCTGAGTTACTCTCTCTGCATTTGCTTCATGCGAAGGTTTGGGAACTTGAAAGCTACTGGCAGAGGAGTAGGCATTCTCTGCATTAATCCTAGTTTTCTCATTGAATGAATGTGAAGCTGCCTTCATGCTTGATTCTCCCACGGGTTTTTGCCTCTGCTCAATTTCCACATCCATGTCTATCTTTTGACCCATGCAAACTTCAGCTAGTGTCCTGAATTTAAGCCCTAAGTCATCTAGAAAGTGATCATCTAGTTCTCCTTCGATAAAACTGCAACAGCCGATGGAGCCGTGTAGAGATTCAGTGTCTTCCTGAGAATAAACCAGAAGGCAATCTTTGGCTATGTGAATGTCATCTTCCTCAGCAAAAGAGGCAGCTTTCTAAAACAGAAAGAAAAACAGAGGCACAAATTAGTGAGGCACAACTTCACTTAAGAATGAGACAATAGGGGCGCCTGGGTGGCTCAGTTGGTGAAGCGTCTGACTTCGGCTCAGGTCATGATCTCACAGTTCGTGGGTTCAAATCCCGTGTCGGGCTCTGTGCTGACAGCCAGCTCAGAGCCTGGAGCCTGTTTCGGATTCTGTGTCTCCCTCTCTCTGACCTTCCCCTGCTCATGCTGTCTCTCTCTCTCTGAAATAAACAAAACATTAAAAAAAAAAAAAAAAAGAATGAGACTATTTCCCTGCCCCAACAGCATAGCCTGAGTCTAATTACAAGAAAACATCAGAGAAACACAAATTGGGCATCTTACGACACAACTGACCTGTATTCTTAAAAAAAATATTCATATTGTGAAAGATAAGAAAGCCAGGACTTCTGGATGGGATCTTGGACAGGAAACACAATGGCTATAAACGGCATTATTGTGATTATTGGCAAAATCAAAATATGGCCTATGTCACTGTTAAACCTCAAATGTTTCTGTCGTACTATGTAAGAAAATGTGTGTGTGAGGGAGAGTGAGGGGGATGGAGGGAGGGAGGGAAGGAGAGAGCAGGAAAGCAAACAGCAAATGTGGGAAAGGGTTAATCATCTGGGTTAAGAATATACAGAAGTTCAGAATTTCTACTGTTCTTGGAAATTTTCTGGAAAGTTTGAAATGATTTCTGAATGAAAAACTGCTCACACACATACACCGCGAAGACCGACTTGAGCAGGATGGGTGGCGAGGGGAGACCAGCAAATGAAACCAGCAGAGTACCGAGCGGAGTTTGGCAGTGAGACAAGGGGATGGGGAGAAGCGGATTTCCTCGACCCTGACTGCATCACCGTCTCCCTGACAAGCTGATAGGGTGGGCAGATGACCTGAGAGAAGGGAGGGCGGAGGGAGACAGGAAGCGGGAAAGCACCCCCGTAATCTGCAACCACGCGGAGAGGGGACAGAAATAAACAGGCCTCATAGAAGCCCATCTCTTCCTTGTCTCAGGTGTCCTTCAGATGCTCTGTCTCAGTCAACACTGCCCATTCCTTGTGGGGCACAGGGACCTTGTTCTCAAGAAGGGCACCCAGCCTTCCTTCTCTCTCTCTCTCTCTCTTTAAATACAGAATTTTAAATGTTTATTTATTTATTTTGAGAGAGAGATTTAGAGAGTGAGCAGAGGAGGAGCAGAGAGAGAGGGGGAGAGACAGAATCCCAAGCAGGCCCCACATTACCAGCGTAGAGCCCAATGTGGGGCTTGAACTCATGAACTGTGAGATTACGACCTGAGCTGACATCAAGAGTCAGAGGCGTAACCGACGGACACACCCAGGTGCCCCTCCCAGCCCTGCTTCCAATTCCTAATTCTAGACATCAGCTTTCTGAATGCACCCCATCATCTTTCCGGCAATTTTCCTCTTAATTTTTTTGCAAACTGCCTCAATAGTGAAGCTACGTAGGCAACATTTAAATGGACATAATAAACTGGTTTTTTAGGCCACATATTCCCTCTGCGCCTGGCGGGGTCCATCCCTGTCAAGTGTGCTCCTGCAGAGTTACTGTACTTTCTGACCCACTGACATCTGGTTTGGTCATGTGACTCGCTCTGACCAATGACATGTGAGCACAAAAAAGCAGCCGCTTTAGGAGTCTGTCATTGCCTGGTTCTGCGTGACTCTCGCCTGCTTCCCAAGGAGGGCAGCCAGCGGGCGCCCTGGTGCAATCTGCTCTCTCGGCACAAGCGTGGAGGGAAGACAACAGAGCTGTGTCAACTGGCCAAGACACGAATGTGAGAAATAAGCCTCTGCCGGAAGTCAGATTGTGGCATCATTCGTCATCACTGCGTCATCGAGCTAACTGGTGTAACGGGCCACATCTCTTTCCTCACGGCCTAGAAGCCGTCTCTTAAAAGATGACAAAGTCCTATTTGGATCCAAGGCAATGATTACCCTAATAATACCGCACCTCTAAATGTCCCCCCCCCCAGCATATATAAAAACCAACCCTTACCTCAGTGAAATAATTTTCTAAGAATTCCTCGCTCACTGCAGCAGCAGCTGCTTGAGTTCCGGCCATGTCTCTGGAAGACCCCATGACTCTTGTGCTCCTTAAAGTTTCGACACCTACGCTGGCTCCTGTTGTCCCTGTCACTTGGGTAGCTCCAACAGAAATAAGGTTTCTGTGTTCCTCCCATCTTCCGTCCATCTCACACATCTCATGTTGCCCTTTGGCGAAGGACGCAGAGCTGTTTGCTTTCACGATGGTCTCTTTGGTTGTCATACCTGCTCCCACTCCGCTGCCTACTGCCACACTCTCCCCATGATCTCCTGTCAGAAGCAATGGCACCACCTGTGAAAGCAAATACAACTGAGACCTGAGAAGGCTGGCGGGTCAGTACGGTTGTAAGAGGATCTGAGCAACGTGAGCCTATCAAAGGAATAAGCTATTTCCACAGAGGCAAATTAGGAAAACTATCTTGGCTTTAATAACTTCTATTTGAGTCTTCTGAAGGTCTCCACTCCACCTTCTCGTTTTGTTAGCTGATTACAACCCAAGGAGAAAACAAACATTATTTAAATATATTCTTGGCTCATTTACTCTATGGGCATCAATGGCATTTCAACTTTCCTCTAGAGTTTAATGCCTTCTTTTATGGTTATTAAACCCTTATATATATATATATATTATATATATATATATACATACATGTATATGTATGTATATATATTTGTATGTATATATATATATATTTCTAGCTGGAGACATACATGGCTGTTTCAAATAAAGACTGTATTTCCAAGCCTCCACTGCTACCAGGAATAGCGACCTAAGTTGAGGTTAATATGACTTCAAGCAGAAAGGGGGTATGCAACTTTTGGGAAGTATTTTTCAAGAGGAGTTCTTTTATCAGCTTGTTGGAAATGTGGGGGCAGCAGCTAGTGTCTGGAGCATGAAGGCCATATGGGAATGGAACTCTCATTCATGGAGGAGCGACAAGAAAGGAGGCACCTGGAGCCATGTCGTACAGGAATCATCACGTTGGTCCTAGACTGCTCACATTTATATTTACGGCCCTGTTTTTCTGAGTTCTCTGACACTTGATGCTAAATCATATCCTATTGAACAAGATGCTTATTGCAGATGGTAATTAGAGACCCGGGGTGAAATTGGAAGAGACCACGGGAGAAGGGATTTTGCAACATTTTATGACTGTCACAGGGGGTGGGGTGGGTTTACCTCTGCAACCCTATGTATTGAAGGGATGCAGAAGGGAACAGAAATGGAGAAGCACATCCTTCGTTCCTTATGTCACTACCTGACTTGACCCTTTTTCTACATTTTCTATAACAAAGGACCTATCACAGTAGAGCAAAACCACTTCAACTCTGCCCTGGCAACGAGCACAAAATATATTGTCATTTGAACCCTTTGAATCATCAAAGACATGTGAATGAAATCCATAATGGCTACCCTACTCTCTCATGACTTAAAATGTTAGAAACACTTCCCAAGGGCCCTTTAAAATCAGAAAAGAAGACATGTTCCACTGACATCTGATTATCTGACCTTGTCTTCAGGTGGTGCCCCTTCGTTATTCCAAGGATGCAGCATCTCTATAGTGCCAGGAATGGGGGTGAAGCCTTTGGCGCCATCTCCACACTGGCACATCAGCAGTAAAAGCGGTACAACTGGACAGAAACAAAATGGGAGTCAGGAGAAGGTTAGTCTCCACATATTTCTAAATTTATCTTCCTAATTTTAGAATTTGCATATCGTTCTTAGAGTTTAGTTTTCACTTATGCACAGCCTTGTTTTGCATTTTTCTTTTCTTCACTCTGATCCAAAGTCCCCAAGACAAGCTTGTACCAAGGCCTAACGGCAGGATGAGGAGGTCTTATAAATTTAGAGCCCTCATTCATCAAAAGGCCACCATGTATTGTTGCTGGGCTGCAGGCCAAGCCTGGATTTGATAGCATATGAATCATCAAAACCAATTTAAAGACTTAAATATTTTGTTGTTCTTTTAAACCAAGTTTTAAATATGGGAAAATCCACTATCCCCCCCAAAATATATATCTGTTAAAAAGATCAAGAACTCCTAGGGGTAGGAACATTTCAATATGTTCAAATATTCTAGAACACTGGAACTTCTATAATACCTTACCACTTTATCCTCGAGTAGAATTCAGCATAAGGCATGACTCACTGAGGTTCAAATTAACATTTGAATTACCTGTGTATTACTTTCTAAAATGACTCTACATTAAAAACTCTTAAAATATATATAACGCTTTATTTAGAATTCAGTAAAATTTCAGAGCTCCCTTCTTAAATTTTATCCTGCTTCAGGGAAGAAGTGAAAGCCAATGTTTTCTTCTTGATCAATGTCGTAAAGAATTAACTACACTTTTAAGCAGTCCATCTCAAATTAGTTTTTATTGCCATTTCCATCTGGCAGCTTCCAATGATGAACTGACTACTTCCTAGATTCCTTTTTGTGTTAAATAGTTGACAGCTCTATAAATACAGCCACCGTTGGTAAAAAAAAAAAAAAAAAAAAAATTGAAATTAGCCAGTGGCAACGCAATAGTTTCAACATATTTAACAAATGCTTATCAAGTGTCCACCATGCACCAAGCACCACCTTTGGCCCTGGGGGGTTCTGAGACGAGAAGGCAGTGCAAGGGATCTCTGGGTAAAAGATGTCGTCCCAGCTCCAGGACCCACCTGCAGACTGGTGAGCTGAGACAAGTCACTTCTCAGTACACGTCTTTATTTTTAGCCATAAAACAGAGACGATGGTATAAAAAAAATCAGACTGTAAACTGTTGAGTGCTGTAAATTCAATTGCACACCTACTACTGGCTTTGACAAGCTCCTCCCTCATCACTGAGATCGCTGAGGCTGCCTCGGAGGTGGCATTTCAGACCTTGGAGGTCTGCCCTTGCTCAGTGGCCAAGAGGAGTGGTATTCCACACGACCCCAGGCTGCAGTACTTTGTTCTCTCGGGAAAGGAAACCCGAGGTCTTTGGAGGTCGTGCAGGGAAGGCAGGACTGGTTGTCACTGTAGGGAAGCACAGAAGTGCTCAGAGGCTCTGGCTACTGTTGGCGTGGGTGAAGGGGCAAGCCAAGCAGAGGGCATAAGGAGGTTGAGCCCTGACAAGCTGAATGTGGAAAGCAAGAACTTGTGGGAATAAGATGGGTTTGTAAAATAACCTTTGTATCCATAATCCAAGTTCACACAACAAATCTTTTCTGAGAGCCTACCATGAGCAAGGCACTGTTCTAAGCACTGGGTGAGGAAGAACAGACAATAGCCCTCATTCACAGAGCTTATCACCAACAAGCCTGTCTATTTAAATCAGGAAATGATGTTTTTATAAAACATAAATTCACTTTAATTAAACAAAATTCTGAAGAGCTCTAGAATAACCTATGGTGAACTTGTCAATGATCATGTATTGTTCTCCTAATCACTCTAAAAAGTGTTCTAGTGTGGTTAAAGGATTCCTGTAAGGAAATCAATGACTACTACTCCCAGTAACAGAACACTGGGAGTGCATCGACATTACTAGAGGAACTAAAGAGTGGCTTTCAAAATACTTACGTAGCAACAGCAGAAGGGCAAAAATTATCAGCGCAATTGCTGCGGGTCCAAGGCCCACGTAGGGGTCATGCAGACCTTCCACACAATTGCTGCCGTCCAGACACTTACAAACTGTCAGTGTAAGGACCTGCTTCTCAGGGCAACTGAAGCCCTGACTATCTGAAATCAGGAACTGAATTTCACTTCTCCCGAGCTTTTGCTCCTTTTGTTGCAGTAACACACTGGTGCCTACAAGGGTAGGAGACAAGAGGAAAGGGAAATGAGTGATTATTAAGGAAAGGGGGAGATTAAATTACAGAAACAGTCTTTAACTGCTAATAATATTTAGCTCCAGTTAGAAGCTTTATTCTTGCTTAGATTTTCCTTTTTATAAAAATTTTTAAAAATTTCAAGTTTATTTCTTTTGTGAGAGAAAGAAAGCATGAGTGGGGAGGGGCAGAGAGAGAATTCCAAACAGGCTCTACACTATGAGCACGGAGCCCAGTGTGGGCTTGAACTCACGAACGATGAGATCATGACCTGAGCCGAAACTGGACACTTAACTGACTGAGCCACCTAGGAGCCCCATTGTCTAACTTTTCTATTGAATTCACACTGAGTGCTTGTTAAAATTAGTCCAGATAGCTCCAAGAGGAAGGTCAATAGCAAATGATTAGATTTGGATACACCTTCTTTTCATGATTAGTTTCACACAAATGTGTGTGATGTCTACTCAATGCTAGGAACTGTTCTATTTCTGACACTGTATCACTATATATCTAAAATTTTGACAAATTTCAAACCTACAGAAAAATTCTAAGAATATTACAAAAAACATCAATACAGCCTTGGTGACTTGTTTACATTTTTATAAAAATACTTGTTCCAGACACTTTTTTTCTAAGGTATTTGAAAGTAAGTCGCAGACATTATGATACACATCAATACCTTATCCCTTCTAAGACTAAGGGACATTAGTCCTCTAAAAAAGTTTAGTATTGATGTAACCCATAGTTAAACATTTCAATTGTAATAATGCCCTTGATAGTTCTCATTCTCTCTGTTGTTTTTTTTCCCCCCCCTTCATCCTGGATTTAATCAAGAATTATAAATTTGCCTTTAGTTTCTATGAATTCACTCTAATTTCTATGAATAATCTAGATCAGTTCCATCCTTTTTTTGGCCTTCAAGACCCAGATAGTTTTGAAGATCATTTATTTCAAAGGATGTTCCTCAGTTTGAATTTGTCTGATTATTTCCTCATGGCTGGATTAATTTTTCTCAAGAACATGGCACAAAAAGTGTTGTCTGAATGACCTTTTGTTGTTTCTTTTAAATGTGACTAATGATTATTTTCAAACTTTGCTTTCATATGAATAAAAATAATGACCAGTTTTCACATGAGTAAAAATAATGATCAGTTAGAAGGGCTTAAAAGTTGTCCTGACATCCTCATAACATTTATTTAAAAAGAATATACTTGCAAGAAATGTGAACCTGATTGAATACAAAGATAATGAAATGTTTAACTTTTGTTGTGTTTTAATTATTTATTTTTGGAAGTAAGAAACAGCCTCTCTTCATTTTAAGGTCTAAATTTTATGGGATTTGATCTGCATAGATAGAATATACTTATTAAGTCATCCTCAAAGCTTTGGAGAAGTGAAAAAAGCATCTAATCACTTAAAGGAAATTTAAGTCAAGGAAAAAAATCCATGAAGACTTGGCCTGGAAGAATATAATTAAATTTGTGATTGGCTTTGAGGGGGCAAGTTGAGAGGGGAGGAAAAGAGGACTTCTGTTTTATCTGTCATTGTAACAAAAGAGGTCTTATTCAAATATGAGAAATTATTAATATTCTTTTCATTCTAGATGCTAGGTACAAAGATGTTGCCATATTGGTCTCTGGAATTTTCTGTGCTTTAAAATTTTCCCAAATAAGTAAAAATAGATAGGTACTATTTATTATCATGACAGCTCACCAATCACCTTACTGTGTAATCGAGGAGAAGAAAGTTTGATTTATAGAATTCTCTCTCTCTAAACTGTCTACATATATAAAGTATAAATCTCAGTGACTTCCTCTTACAACATTCCAACATGCATACCCTTAAGAATTTCATGTTCCTAAGACTACAAAAAATTCAAGGACCCATCAAATTCAAACATCTTGATATTTAGATAAAAAATTCATTTACATATCCAGAGCCAGACTACTTGGGTTTAAATTCTAGTTCCAGCTCTTAACTGTGACCTTGAGAATGTTAATAAAACTCTCTGTGCCCTTGTTTCTTCATCTGTGAACACACTTTATCTGTTGCAAACTTCTAGGGTGGTTAACATTTGTCAAGTGTTTAGGACAGTGACTGGTATCTCCCAAACAACATGAGTTTCTTAAATAAAATAAGTAAGACTTGGAAACCCAGCAAGTTCAATGCAAAACACATTTACACATCTTAGTCTCAGAAAGGCCAGCTCCAATCAAGCATATGGCCTTAGGTGGGAGTCCCAGACTTTTGTGCATACAGAATTAGACACTGTGAATAAGGAGACCAACCACTTTTCAAGTTTGAAGGCTGTGACTTAATGACCATAAGAGGAATCATCTGGATGTCTGCCACCCAGGGCTCACGCTAGCTGAACACCTGATCTTAAGGAGCACCAACTAATCAGGATGGTGACTGATTAAACAAGTACTTCATCCTTAGAGGGAGGCAAATTTAGTTAACCGAGAGCATAACTGTCTTTTGCCAGTGAATATATAAACCCTAAGAAGATTTAGAATTAAGTACTGAATATTAAAGCAATTTGAAGACACAGTTTTAATATTTTTGTATGATATGGAAATTGTGTTTGTTACTGTGTCTTTATATTGTTTGGAAAATTAGCCCTATTAATGCAACAGTTTTGTAGCTCCAATTTAAAGTGTGTGATTATGTTACAGTCATGGCCTTGTACCTGTAGGCTGAAACATCACTGGTTTATTCTGTATTGAACCACTGAAGAGGATTTCAGGTTTAGTGTATATATAAGTCAAATTTTTTGGATTTTTAGAGCATACAGATCATATGAAGTGAGATAATGCATCTTATTTGTTAATTCAGATCACTGAAATACATAGGAAAAAAACTGAATATACTTAATTTATAAATGTAGTTTGAGATGTTGAAGGTGTTTACTCTGGAAACTGGACCAAACGTTATTCAAAGCCTCTTAAAACGACTGTAAAAATTGGTTAGACTTAAAATAGCAATAAACCTGTAAATTAAGAAAAGCTTGGGTATTATATTTGAAACTTTTCTAAAAGGAACACTAATTGTTTAAAACAAAATAGTCTTCTGGATAATTTTTGGCATTCAAAACCACCCTGAATAAAACCCCAAAGCTCATGTCAACAGGATGCTTTGTCCAAGATATGGATATATGCACATGGCCATCTGGAACGGGGTGAGGGTCAGATAGGCCCTTCTTCATCTTGTGTCCATCACTTACCAGCTTAATTCTAGTTAGGTCAAGGTTCCTCAGCTGTGATCAGGGAATAATGTTTACATTAAAGGACTGAATGAGATAAGGCATATGGAGGGCCAGCAAAGTGCCTCGTGCATGTAAGTGATTCATAAGTTATTATTTTGGTGGAATTGTTACCATAGCTTAAGATTTTGGAAGATATCTACCTGATTGCTGTGCCTAGACAGGCAAGGTACTCCTCAGCTTATGAGACAAAACAAGTACTTCAAGAGCAATTTAGGGAATATCTAGTTATCTTTAAGACATCAGGTTATTTTTCTTCTCTCCCTCTTCTACTATTCCAAATCAGGTATTAAACTACAAGCTGCCGAAAGACACTATACCTGAGCTTCAGAACCTCATCTTATAAACTTCTGTAAAAAACTGTACTGGGAATAAAATTTATGAAAAATAAAGCACAGCCTATATTATAAAGATTTTAGATTTCTATCATGTGTAATATTTAACTATGTAGCCCAATGATTTTGCTTACTTTCTTGGTGTACTATTTGCCATTTTTCTGCCATCCCAGATGGTTTGTCGATGATGGAGAAACTGAAAGGCTCACTGTTCTGGTATCCATCCAAGTCCTCTGCGGTCACATTCACGTACTGCATGTCCTCACAGACACTCTGTACTGGGTCAACCAGTGTGGGGCAATTGTCATTGATGTCAGCCACTGTGATAACAATGGTGCCAGTGATAGTTTTTCTTGGATAACCTTAAAAATAATAAAGAAGAAATATGTATATGCTGCCTCTACTGCTGACAATGGACAGAGTTGGAATTACCTTTCCGATTTGGTGAGAAGAAGGTACTAACAAATTACGGCACTTTCTATCCTAGATGTGTTTTCATACTCAGATCAAGTCATGTTTTTTAATCCACTATATAAGTAGAAATGTGAAAGTGTGTCCATTGGAGAGATTTGGTTATCTATAACCAAGAAAAATATATATTTAATAACTTACTATCTGATATCGCCAAAATCTTTGCAGTATATGTACCATTTCGGACATATCTGGATTCAAAATCGGGAATTTTTACAAGTCTAATTTCAGATGTAACAGAATCCACAGAGATCCAGTTGTCTATATCTTCCAATTTGGCATATCTGTTACAACACAAACATAAAATTAATTTTCACTTTTGGATAAACATAACCTCTAATATCTACAACTCTTTCAAGCTTAACTTTTGGTTCATTATCTATGTTCTTGTTACAGGCATTAGTTTGAAATGTTTTTAATTTTTTGAAACTGTCCTAAAAGCCCCCTTTATCCATTTTTTAAATGTTTATTTATTTATTTTGAGAGAGAGGGAGATATTAGGTAAAGGGCAGAGAGAGGGGGATACAGAATACGAAGTAGGCTCCAGGCTCTGCGATATCAGCACAGAGTCTGACGCGGGGCTCGAACTCACAAACCTTGAGATTATAACCTGAGCCAAACGTGGATGCTTAAACGACTGAGCCATCCAGTGCCCTGACCTCTCTTTACTCTTTACTGTGTATCACATTTATCTGGAACCTTCTGTATTTCTGTAAGATACCCAAGACATATATGCAAGGGCGACCAATTATTGCCTACAAACTCAGGAAGTTTGAGTTGCTCTATAGTCTGTCCTATAGCTTTTCTGGGGGGTAAACCTTTGGAGAATGACTTAGTTACCCAACAAGAACTGGTGGAGAAAATTTATTTGCTACTTTTTTACCTCTAAACTCTTTCAGGATGTAAGACAGATTTATACAGAATAAGACAGTAAGTTTCTTTCTGAGCTTTCTCTTTGTTGCATTTTAGCTTTTTCTAGCCAGAATTACTTTGAGGTGAAGGACCCGGCCAGCCTCTGCCTCACACTCAGTTGGTGGAGGGAAGGTGGCCTGGGGGGAAATTTCTCCCTGCTTCTCAGTTGCAGGTACAATTCTAGAAAATTCAATCTCTAGACCTTTGGGGAATTATAATGCTGGGAGAGAAGGAATGAAGGGTTCAAATTTCATTATGAGTTTTTGAAGACCGGCATTTAAAGTAATTTAAAATAAGGAAATATATGCAGCACTATCTCTTACCTTACGTGAGCTACCTGTCCAGTGTCTTCGTCAAAAGCTTGGAATTTGCCAATTACTTGGCTTTGGCTTGATTTATCCATGCTCTCACTAACATGAACGGAGATTGTGTTATGTTTAAAATGAATGCCTTCTTGCACATTTTTCACCTTTATTTTGATGGGAATGGGTGTAGGCTTATGTTGAATCTTAACTGATTTGTGAAAAGCTGCTTTGTTAGTGACAATAATGCTGAAATCGAGACTCTTCATTTCTTCATAATCTAATTCCTGGGAAGGCAAAAATCAAAGGGAATTCCTTTAAAAGAAAAAACAATTAGAATACACACACAAACACACACATGCAGTTTTAATGTTAGATGTAACAATGTAACATATGGGGAATAATCAGCACTCAGTGGTCTAACTCATATTGATACCAAGCAATGAAAACATCTGTCATTTTTAAAAAAAATTTTTTTTAATGTTTTATTTATTTCTAGGAGAGAGAGAGAGAGACAGCGTGAGCAGGGGAGGGTTAGAGAGAGAGGGAGTCACAGACTCTGAAACAGGCTCCAGGCTCTGAGCTGGCAGTCAGCACAGAGCCCGACGCGGAGCTCGAACCCACGAACCACGAGATCATGACCCAAGCGAAAGTCGGACGCTTAACCGACTAAGCCACCCAGGTGCCCCAAAACATCTGTCATTTTGGAAATTCATAAATGTTAAGGATGATTAGGGAGCATCCCCAATTTATTTTTTTAAGTCCAAATTATTTATTAGAATTTTTAAAAAATATTTATTCATTTTTTGGGGGGGGAGGGGCAGAAAGAGAGTGGGACAGAAGATCTGAAATGCGATGTCACTGACAGCAGTGAGCCTGACGCAAGGCTCAAATTCACAAACTATATGATCATGGCCAGCGCAGAAGTTGGATGCTCAACTGACTGAGCCACCCAGGTGCCTCAAAAATCCAAATTATTTAAAACACACACACACACACACACACACACACACACACACACCAATCTGAAGTCATTTTTTTGACTGAAAAAGTTAATAGACATGTGATATAATATTCCTTAAAATGTGTTCTATGGGTTTGTTTTGGGGGAAAAGGGGTGCCTAGGTGTAGTACTCCCAGCTGTCCCCCGAGTTCACTGCACATTAGCAGACCAAAAAGCTGAGACCTCCTGATTTAATTTTGCTAAACCCACAAGTTTTCAAATTTATTTAAACAACCTTTCCACCCCTGCCTTTTTAGCATAATTTGTATTAAGACCTGGTTTGCTATTAATGCCGTAAAAGATTAACCTTCCTCCAAATATCATGTTCTTTATGAATTGTGCAAATTATAAAGTACATTGGATAAAGTCAGTTTATCACTGAATACATATTTTATGTTCCAATTTGCCCATTTTCTTTTTATAAGTATTTGTATAGTATGCTGCTATTTAGATACACCTAATTTACTTAGCCATTTGATTATTAGGCATTTGGACTATATATAATTTTTAATATAATTAATACTCCTCTGAACATTTTTGCACAAATTATTTTTCCTCTGTTGAGTTATAGCTCACTACTAAAAGAAATACCTAGTCAAAGTTTATTTAGGTCCTGTCAACTTTTATTTCTAGTGATCCTGACCTTTTAGATGCGTGGGCCATTTTGCTTGTTTCTTTAATATAACATTAAATGTATTACATGTGTTTATAGGAATTACTGCAAAACTGTTCAATTTGTTTTTTGATGTTTTATTAAGAAATCTGTTTTCCTCTCTGCAGGATTCTGGATGAGTAACAATTTTTGGCCTCTTTTTAAAATGGGCCACTATGGTGTTGAGACAAGGACTCAACAGAAAATGACTAGAGAAAAATACACTCTTTGTGATCGTAGAATCCTTGTGAAAGTTATTTTCTTTTTAATTTGCTCTTGGACTAGACAGGCTAGTTTTGATGGCCTGATGTATGCTGGATGAGAAATAAAATATTCTAGCCGGGGCCGCCTGGGTGACTCAGTTGGTTGAGTGTCCGACTTTTAATCTCAGCTCAGGTCATGATCTCAGAGTTGTGGGATGGAGCCCTCAGTCAGGCTCCCTGCTAAACATGGGCCCTTTTTAAGATTATCTCTCTTGGGGCACCTGAGTGGCTCAGAAGGTGTCCGACTCTTGATTTCGGCTCAGAACATGATCTTGTTGTTTGTGGGATCGAGCCCCAAATCAGGCTCTGTGCTGACATTGTGGAGCCTGCTTGGGATTCTCTCTCTGCTCCCGCCCCCCCCCAAGAAAATAAATAAAACATTAAAAAAAAAGATTCTTTCTCCTTCTGTCCCTCTCCCTTGCTCACTCTCTCTCTAAAAATAAAATAAAATGAAAAATATTCCAGTCAGATGTCATTAGTATTCAAAGGCCATGGAAAGCCACAGCATTGTTTAAAAAAAATGAAGTAGGTACTAAGGCCGTAAAAACTGTTTAATGGAGGTTGTTATAAATAGCCATAATACTCCACAGAGAATGAAAAAAATTTCAGCATTGTGAACAATGCATGAGGGGAAATACCTCTGTTTTTAAAGCTGTCAACATATTTTCCTATTCCTACTTTTGCTATTTTTAATAGCATTAAAGATTTTAAATGTATTTGTTAATTTGTTAACAAAGCTGTGGGTTTTTCTCATGTGATGATATATTATCTGTATTTCCACAGTTTATAGTACCTGCTCTCCTTTTCACAGCTTTACTGAGGTATAATTTACAGAGAATAAATTCACCCATTGTAAATGTACAACATGGCGATTTTTAGGAAACTTGTATAGTTTTTCAAATGTCACTACCATCCAGTTTTAGAACATTTCCATCACCCCAAAAAGTTCCTTTTTGCCTGCTTATAGTCAATCATCACTCATATCTCTAACCCTGAGCAACTACTAATCTTTCTATATTCATTGTTATGCTTTTCTAGAAATTTCACATAGATAAAATCATACAATATGTAGTATTTTGTGTCTGGTTTCTTTTTTTAAATTTCTTTTTTATTTTTGATAGAGAGAGTACATGAGTGGGGAAGAGGGGCAGAAGGAGAGAGAATCTTTTTCTTTTTTTGAGAGAGAGAGAGAGAGGATGTAAGTGAGCGAGGGGCAGACAGAGAGAGAATCCCACCAGGACAGAGACAGAAAGAAAGAAAGAAAGAGAGAGAAGCAGGGCTCGAACTCACCCGAGGCCGAGCCTTGCCTGAAGCAGGGCTGGAACTCATGAACTATGAGATCATGACCTGAGCCGAAGTCAGACACTCAACCGACTGAGCCACCCAGGAGGCTCTAGGGAGAGAGAATCTTAAGCAGGCTCCACACTCAGCATGGAGCCCGATGCAGGGACTCAATCCCAGGACCCTGGAATCATGACCTGGGCCAAAATCAAGAGTTGATACTCAACCGACTGAGCCACCCAGGACTCCCTATGTCTGGCTTCATACACAAAGTATGATGAATTTGAGATTGATCCGTGTTGTAGCATGCATGAGTACTCCATTCCTTTTTATTAACCAATAGTATTATTCCATTATGTGGATATATGACATTTTATCTGCTTGCCAGCTGACAGACATTTTTATTGTTACCAGCTTTTAACTATTATGAATAAAAGCTGCTTATAAGATTTGCATGGAAGTTTTTGTATGGATAGATTTCTTTCTGGATATACAATGTTTTATTAGTCTCAAGTGTGCAACATGGACGATTCTATGTAGTATGCAATGCTTTCCATGATAAATGTAGATACCACCTGGCATCATACAAATTATCATAATATATGATTTTGTTTTTCCTGGGTAGATGGATGCCTTGTACTTAATTTTTGGGTCATTGAGTAACTATTCTGTGTTTAATGTTAAAATAACTGCAAAACTAACTGTATCACTCATGTTTCCACCAGTCCAGATTCTGTATATTGTGCTGACTGTTGGTGTCATCAGTCTTTTTGATTCTGGTAGGTGCATGGTGGTATCTCTTGTAGTTTTAATTTGCATCTTTCCTAATGACTAATGATGTTGAGTATCCTGTGCGTATTTGCTATTTGTGTATCTTCTCTGTCTCACTTCATTTGAATGGAATCTGAATATTGCTCTTAAAATTTGGAAGCAATTCTTATACAATTGAGACAGTAAATTTTTAATTTTCTCAATCTGCTGTTGTCACATTAATACTAATTTTACACTTTTTTGCTATGCCCCCTTTGGTAGAAATAATTGTATCTCTTTTAGTGCCACCATGGTATGGTGAGAATACTTCTAGTACTTCTATCATTCATCACTAATTGTTTCTCCTTATGTATATTATTGGTTTTTGATCTCAAGCATCTAGCAAGGTTGTACTCACTTCTATGACTAAGAAGTATGCTTACTTCTATACAAGCAGGCAAATCTATTTTCATCTCTGATGCCACTGTCCACTTCTTCCTCAATCATAACATTCCCTTTAAACATGAGGTAATCTTGGGGTGCTTGGGTGGCAGAGTCGGTTAACTGTCTGACTTGATTTCACCTCATGGTCGTGAGATCGAGCTCCACGTCGGGCTCCGCACTGGTGCACAGACCCTGCTTACGATTCTTTCTCTCTTTCCCTTGGCCCTTCCCCAGCTCACTCTCTCTTAAAAAAATTATATTAAATATGAGGTCATTTTATTCTGGTTTCTTCTGCTTTACAAAGCAGTAGTCTAAGTGCATATAATACACAGTGTACATAATTGTTACCATGAAAATTCAAGTTAATTTTCTCTATTCTGTTTTATATTTATCATTATTCCTCTTCCTATTGTTAGATTTGTTACTCTTTCATATATTAGGTTTTTGTAAAAGTTTAGAAACTTCTGGAATTAATTTTTGTCTGTGTGTGACTTAATGGAATAGTATTTTGAAAGCTGTAGCTTTGCATTTTATTTCAAAATCTGATATGAAAATTCTATCATAAGCCATTTAAAAATACATTGATATTCTTCCTTATTCTATTACATAAAAATCCATTCTACAATTTTTGTTTGAAAAATTCTGTGGGGGTAATAAATTTCAAATGTATAAGACCACATGCTTAATAAGACTACTTTTCCTTCATTGATTCATTTAAGTAAGAAATTAAATCACTGTGTTTCAAAATGTGATCCACATACTACTTAGAATCACAAGTGGATTTCTGTTACAAAGGCAAGTTCCTCAGCTCTACAATCATCAGACCTGATGATGGGGCCCATGACTCTGCATTTTGGGTATGTAGGTTTATAAGGTGACTCTTAGGCATATTTAAGTATGAGGACAACTGAATTAGAGCTTTTTTTAAGTTATTACAGCTTTAATTACAGACCTCAGGAAAATAAGGAGGTCTCCAATCTCAAATAATTGTGGTGTCAGTTAATTCAGTACATAAAGCACTTTTAAATGTTTGGGGCTCAGGATGCCTGGGTGGCTCAGTCAGTTGAGTGTATGACTTCGGCTCAGGTCATGATCTCATGGTTCCTGAGCTTAAGCCCCGCGTCGGGTTCTGCGCTAACAGCTCAGAGCCTGGAGCCTGCTTTGGTTTCTGGTCTCTCTTTCTCTCTCTCTGCCCCTCCCCTGCTCACACTCTGTCTCTCTCAAAAATAAACAAACATTTAAAAATGTTTGGGGCTCAAAATATAATCGTTTCTTCTTCTGAATCAACTTTTCCCATTCCAATTTTGAACACTAAATACTTACCTTAATAAGGGTCACAATTCCTTCATTAGTTTTATTATCAGTTTCTATGCGTAAATAACCCATTTCATTTCCTGATACGAACGTAAAGTTTGCTAACCAATTATCAGAGCCTATTTCATCAGCATCGGACACCTCTATGCGTGTAACTTCTACATTGGCTTGATTTTCTTTAACTTCCACCCCTTCAGTCTGAAAAACGTAAACACAGGAATTTTATTTTAATGTAGCACAAATGTAAGTGATATATTTTTAGTTAGGACTGAACTATGAGTATGTAGATACATTTGATACAAAAATAATAGTTACCATTGCAGTTTTGACTACAGGTACATTGTCGTTGACATCCAAAATACGAATCTGAACTTGAGCTTGTTTTACTGGTTTATCTGTTATTTGTCCATTGCCATCTCTTGCTTCTACCGTCAGAGTATAGCTGCTGTGCTCCTGCAAGGCAATGAAAAATATGCAGCTGTGATGCAAGTGAATCGCTCCCAAATCTGTCCTTCTGGTTTTAGTTCACGTCATCATCAAGAGGAGGAACCATGGTATATTTTACTGATAAATACGTTTTATGATCTGGTATTCATGTGAAGATGCTGTGTATTTGCTGTCAGGGCATTTCTAGAAGGCCAGAAAAGTCTAGAGAACTTGCTGGTAGTCAAATTTGTAATTATGCCATTGGTGACATTATCAGAACATGAGTCCTTCCTTAAAATAGTCTGTGCACAAAATAGTGCCATTCCAAATGTAGTTTGCTCTACACGGAAGCAATGGTGGGACCATAAGAATTGGTTCCTTCTTTGGTTTTAGCTAAAAATTAAGCCAGGAAAACCTAGTCCCCCAAAAAACTTGGCCAGGGAGGACAAAATGTGGTTGACGTGGTCCAGATATTCTGAGAGATATGATTGTTAAGAGAACTTGTCCTAGAGATGGGCGCCTCAGACGCTACTCCAAAGTGAGCCCTTATCTTCCACACAGTCCCTTATGATGGCTCCAGTGTAGCTGGAGTTTAAGAAAAAGCAGGGGGCGGGGGGGGGGTGTGTGTGTGGCAAGTGCGAATGCATGGGGGTCCTCTCTGGGGCAGAACTGTTCGATGTAACTGAGGCTCTAGAGCCAGTTGCTTGGATTCCAATTCTGGCTTTGTCATTTAATGGCTGTGTTGGACATACGCTTAATCCTTTTGACCCTTGGTTTCCTTTTGTGGTAAAATGGGGATAATAGCTGCATCTGCCTCATAGTTGGATTAAATGGATTAATCTACGTAAAAGGCTTAGGATAGCACCTGACATATGGTAAATGCCCAATAAGTGACAGCCATTACCACTGGTTAAACTTAACATACTTCGCAGACAGCAGCTTCTTAAAAAAATCAGAATAATTGAAAATAATACTTTTCCATTCTAATTTTATGTGAAAAGGTACAGAGTAGAATTTTAGGAATAATAATATTCTTTAATTTCACAGAGATCCATTAGCAATGTTGAGCACAATCCTCTCCCTCTCTGGACAGAATGAAATCATTTTCCCAAGTCATATAAAATATAATGACTGCACTTAGACAATGATTTATTTACAACATTTTATTCATGCACACTGTTAAAACCTTCATGTATACAATATTTTAAAAAGTCTTCTATTTTCTGTTTTCATCTAATGTTTTCCCTTTGAGTTAGAAAGAAAAAAGTGAAGTATTTGAGAACAGCCTGTCCAGGAATCCCACTGAAATTTCCCTCCAATTTGGGAATTATAACAATTCATTTCTTTACAAGTATTTCTCATATCCTAAGTAGGACTCCAAAGTCAGTCTTTGTTCCTCCTTCTATATCCATATTAGCAATCGAGGGCTGATTTCATTACAGAACCACAAATTACAGAGGATGGCTTTAGGATTCTCTAGCAAACAGAATCCTGACTAGAGAGGCCCTTGAATAGTGCTGTCCTTATGCAGTTTTACATTTTCTAATGGCCACGTTTAAAAAAGTTTAAAAAAAGGCCATACTACCAATTTTAAACAAATATATTTTATTTAACCCATGGTACCTAAAATATCATGTCAACATGCAATCAAGAGAATATTACTAAGGCGGTATGTTGCATTTTTTTTCCATGCTAAGTCTTTCCAATCTGGGGACTTTTTTACATTTATAGCACATCTCAATTTGGACGGATCACATTTCAAATGCTCAATGGCCACATACGGCTAATGATTACCATATTGGACTGCACATTCCTAGAAGTGGTATTTATAGGAGTTATCCTAGAAGTGAGGAAATATAAGAAAGTATAAAAATTAGAAGAGGAGAGAAATAAAGAGAAAGGAAAACTTGAAAAGATAAAGAAGACTTTAAAGCAACATAAAATACTAATTTACCTCTCTGTCCAAGGTAAAGCTGGTTGTATAAATCTCGCCTGTATCTTTATTTAGGTAGAACACTGGAGGGTAAGCAGGCTCCTGAGATACAATTCTATAGGAAATTTTAGAATTCAGGGTATTGGGCTCATCTGCATCTGTTGCGCTGATTCTCATCACAAGTGTATCTGGCATTAGAAAAATAAAAAGTGTCCGAGATGAAACTTGATGTTAAGCACACATATGTACGTTATTATTTTCTTCATACCTTCAGCCTGTTCCATAAACTGTGCTTATCTAAGTCACAGTTTACCAAGATCAAAAAATGCGATCGGATGAGAAAATAAGTGTGGATGGGGTACAGAATTAGGAATGATAAGAAAGGGCAAGGCTAGCTTCAGCACAGACAATTCTTGGGGGGAAGTCCTGAGCACTTGCTACAGGAAGGCCGCAGATCTACTTATAATCTCCCTAATAATCAATACAAAGAAAGAAGAATGAACAGATACAAATGCATGCTTATTAACATACAAACAATTCAGGAGAAGCATAGTTATTCTTTATATTATGATCAAAGGGAAATGTCTCCTGCAAGTCTCAGAGACCACTGCCTCGGACAATGTTGTCAATAAACCTGAGACATAACAGAAGTCAAAAGTCAGCAAACAACTGCCAGCCACCTGTTTCTGTGAATACAGTTTTATGGGAACAGAGCCACACCCATTTGTTTACATGTTGGTTATGGCTGCTTTCTAGCCAAAGGCCGAATCTTTGCTACAGAGACCTAACCTGTCACATGATCCGATCCTCCATATCTGTTCTGACAATAAAGAGAGACATCAGGTAAAGCATTTTGTACCTCATCTCAGAAAAAGCAGTTCCAAACCTAGAGCAACAGGTTTATTACTATTTGCCCTGTGGGTAGTACTTAGATACAGGATTTAGTGTTCGGTTACAAAATGGGGTTAAAATGCCTGGGGGTAGTCAATCATAAAAATAACGAACTCTGACCTGCTGCACTCAGCTCTTCAACAGACCCAACAAAGACGTCCTGTGTGAACACTGGCTCATTGTCGTTGACATCAAGAACTTTAATGCGCAGTTCTAATGGTTTCTCAAGGTTGTTTCCTTTTTCATCCAAAGCATAACCAATGAGCTGAAATCATGACATAAATAACAGAAGAGATGAAATGTAAGCTAAGGTAATTAAATCACCACAATATAAAAACAAACAAATCATAACTATTACCAAAGAAAAACTACAAACTAATAAATGGAAAGCCGTTCTTCTCACCAGAAAACTTGGCGTCTCTTCTCGATCAAGAATGCGGGTAACGTTCAGCTCTCCAGTGTCTTTATTAAAGACAAACACACCAAAAGGTGGCTCTGTGATCCCTTTTCCGGTATATTTGTATGTAATTTTTAGTCCTCGTTCTTCTGCAATATCAGAATGTATCTAACATAAAAATAACAGAAGAATGACTCAAGTTAAACTCTATAATTTACATGTACATATTTCGAATGAAAAATTTCCCCCCGAAGTTTTCATAATCTTGATAGGAGGTAGGTAGGAGAGCGCAAGTACTCAAGAGATGATGTGCTGATGTAAGATAGCCTGGGTTCAAATTCTGTCTTGGCCACTCAGTGGTTACGTGATACTAAGAGTTAATCTCTCTGTGCCTCAGTGTTCCTATCTGTAAAGTAGAGAGACACTCCTGCTTATTCCTCAGGGTTGTTATGAAATTAAGATATCACTGGGGGTATATGTTGGGAGTACAGATTTTAAATTTAGCACATGAGGTAAAAATTGCAGAGTCAAAATCACCTTTATAGATCCATTCGATCATCTGGAAAGTCTGAAAAAGGCATCCTTTCATAGAAGGATTAAAGTTTTCAAAGTTAAAAAAAAAAAAGTCGAGTGCCTTCCCTGCTTGGAATGGCTCAGGAATGGCGTGATTCTAACCCATTTCTAATGTCTTTCCTGGTTGTCATCTTCCTTTTCTATTATGTATATATATACATTTCCCATTTCTCTGTAGAGGTACCTTGGCAATTGGATTCCTTTTGGACAGATCCTCTCCCTCTCGAAGAGCCACGGGAGCAGTGATCCAGGAGCGCTTTTGCCGCACAAAGTGAGTGTGTTTAGGCAGCAGATTATTTTCATTTCTTGTGTTTAAGGCCTACAACATAAAATATTGTCAAAATTATTAAGTATCCTAAGACATAAGTATGGTATTCTATAATTTATTAAAACTTTAAAAATGGTTCTGGAAACCTTAAGGTATAAATTTTGTATTTTTTAACAGGTTTCGTTTTCAAGGAGGAAATGTATACACTAATGATATGAACTCCATAGGCATTCAAGTAATTGTCTCTAAACCAGTAGAATAGTATTGTTTTGTTTTTATCAGTAAGAAAAGACTTCCCAGAATGAAATGTCACAGAGTCTCATTAAAGTGTCCAGACTAAGGTCCAAGACGGAGTCGCCTATGCCAAGCCCCACATCAACAAATTGGAACTTAACACATTTCTGTGTTTGGCTCTCCCAGAAAAAGAAGGCCTAGGCCAAGCAGTCAGTAACTACCCGATCAGCATATTATCTGCCCCGGTTCCAGACTGACTCTGCTCTAACCAACCAGCAAATACCCAGTATAACTTCCCACTCTTGCTCACTTTGGTATACAAAACCCTTTCATTTTGTACAACTCTTGAAGATCCTTTCTGTTTTCTAGACTGGATGCTTCCCTGTTCATGAATCATTGAATAAAGCCAACCAAATCTTTTCAAGATTGATGATTGTTGGATTTTTCTTTTAACAGGCTAATGTAGTGACCATACACATTGGCAAATCAAAAAATAATATGTCATGTTAAGAAATTCTTTGTTTTTGTTTTTTTTTTACTGAAAATCAAGTTTCATTCTTCTGTGGTGGCTTACGTTTAAAAATTAATTATTAAATGTTTTAAAACTAAATCTTAGTAACTAACCCGTGGTATCAATTTAACTAAAACAGAGCAAAAGTGCCAATTAATGAATTTATTGTTTAAACCATGAGGTAAAGAATTAAATTGCCCATCTTTTGTTTTCAGAACCTTAAGTAGAAAAGATTTATTCTATATATTTTCAGTTGGGCTTTAATAGACAAATATTTTATCCAAGGGAAATTTCAATACAGCTGACCTAGGATATGAAGGTCAGATATGATTATTGTACTAGGTTTATAATTTTATTTATTTTGTTGCTCTACATAACATGTATTTTTTTCAGATACTGGTTATCACTAGGTCATTGATTTTTTTTGCTTTTTTTTGTTGAGAGATTTTTCTGTAACTTAAAAAATTAAATTATGTAATAAAACAATAAATTAACATTAAAGTTTATAATTTAAAACTATAAAACTTTATTCTGCTTTTTCTCTCATACTTCAGAGTATTCACTGTTAATTGCTTGATGAATATCTATTATGATCTTCTCTTATGACCATACAGTTGCACATATATAATGCTCATTTTCCTATAAAAATGGAATTACAATATACATCTTACTCTGCCTCTTGATTTTTCATTCAGTATCTCATCATGGACATTCTTCATATACCGTAAGTTGTTTTACCATTCTATGAATGACCATTTAGATTGTCACAAAAATACTGCACTGAACATCCCTGGATATATATTCCTGTGCACATGACAGAGTGGGAATTGTTAGATCTAAGGGAATTGTTAGGTCTAAGGAAAGGCATAGCCAAGTTGTCTTCCAAGAAATTAAGCTTCTGAGTCCAAAAGACAGAAATAATCCTCTCGGTTCCTTACCTCTAAATGGAGTCCATTTCCAAAGTTAAGGCAGATCTGGAAAATAAAATTATTTATTTGTTGTTTAATATAATTTACCACTCAATTCAATATAAATCCTTTGTTAATAACTTACCACGTAAAATACTATAGATATTAAAAAAAGGTTTAACCACCACCATTACAATCCTCCTTTGTGAAAAGGAAACAAATTTTAATTTTCCCCTTTGCCTTCTTGCCATGACCAGGGCTGGAGGAAGGAATCTACATTCTTTTTGATACACATTGCCTCCTCCAGGAACCTCAGAACACAACTAATATCTGAAAAACAAAACCAAGAACTCTCCATCTCATGTTCTCAGGGACCCACATAACTTTCCTCTAGGCCTTTAGTATGAGATGCACCCTGTACTCCTGGCCCAGCTAACTCCCATCACCCCCAGGGTCGCCCACACGACTGCCCATGCTTGGACTTCACACCTAAGTCCCACCGGCTCTTTTCTTTGGTTATCAAGCACTGTCACACTTCGGGCTTCATCATCACACAGAAGTAAATATAGTTACACTTACTCTAAAATCTGTCTAATAAACTCCTATCCTGTCCTTTGACTTTTGCTGCCCTTCCGTTATAGTCCATTACTCTCTTGGTTTCACTTTTCCCTTGTCTTAATCAAAACCAGTTCTTTCTAACATGGTAGCCACACATGGCTATTTATACACTTCAACTTAACTTATTTTAAATTAATAATTTGTTTGTGCACTATCCACAGGAGGCAAGTGGACTGAGAACATTTCCAACTTTCCCAACATTAGGGGACGCTAGTAGATTACTGCCAGCCATTCCAAAGATGTTGTCAATGACTCTGGGACCCCTCATTCTTTTGACTTTCTAATATTCCTGCCTCACCTTTCCCCCAGCTCTGTAAGCCCATTACTCTCCGATTCTGACCCTGTACTGCCAGACAACGCCATGGGGGCTGAATGGATCTGCCATATCCATTCACTCTTTAATAGCTGCTCCCTCTTCAGTGGTGGAGGCTCCTTTCTAGGGTGACCATGTGTTAACATTTGCCAAGGAGAGTCACTTGCTGTACCAGCACCCCATCTGTGATAACCCGTTAATTCTCAAAAGTGTGCTCATCCAGACCATAAACTACACAGTTGCCTTATCTTTGGTTTTCTTATAGCAGCCCTATCATACCATCCCAAACCTCAGGAGACTGCCCCAGGCACACAGACCAAGCCTCTGAATGCATTCACTCTTAGATGACCACACTTTTTGTTTGAGATTGTATCTTCAATTCTCCTTTCCTTCCCTGCCTTCTCCAAGAACCGAGGTGTCCTGATGCCCTTCCAAAGTTAAACATCATCTGTGTGATTTATCTTCACTTTTTCTACTTATTCTCCTACATTTATCTTCTCAAGAACCTTGTTCATTCCACTAATATTTTATCTTTACTCACCACTGGCTAATCAAATATGTTTATTTCCTTCCCATTGGCTAGCCAAATATATTAAGATCTTTCCTACTTGTCCCCCTGTTTCTGCTAACATTTAATCTTAAGCTACATATTCTTTCTCGGACTATGACTCCAAACTGAAATTGTCTATATTTATTGCCTCCATTTCCCCACCTTCCATTTGTGCATTAGTTCATTATAATCTGCCTTAAATTTGTATTTTCTCAGTCTTGCTTGCCTTTTCTCATCTATATCTCAGGTCACATGAGTCCAAAAAGGCGATAAATCATGGAAAGTTAAGGCTTCAAAATTTCTAGGTCTCTTTCACCTATTCACATCTCTTTGAAGGCTCCTTGCAGGGTCTGTTCTACATGTGTTCCTTCACCTTTCTTCCTTTCCTCTACCATGTACATGTCGTTATCTCTACCCTTGCAAAGAGAAACTCCAGGATGTTCAGTCTCTAGTCTGAGCCTCTCTGGGGTAGACAAACAACCACTGCTAATTTTTGATTTTATGGCCAGATATAGCATTTCTTCCTCACCTCATCCTCTCTATTATTGGCTAGGAATGACACAGACATCTCTACTCAAAGTTATGTTCCCCCAATTCATGTATTTTCAGAGGTGCATGGTATCAAAAACAAGCAAAAGCAATGCTGAATGGATTATACTTCTCTGCATGTTTCTCTGGTGGGAATTTTTGAAAGGGAAGAGTAGCGACTAGATCCAAGATTCCTCAGTGTCACATCATCAGGAGACACTCTTAAAATGTAATGTATTTCTTGCCTAACCATTGATTTCTTTACTTTGTATTGGCCATATTGAGGGATTGGTCAAATATTTACCACTTTTATTCTTACCTAAAATCTTATTTGGTCTAGCAAAAAAAGGTATAATAGTTACATGTTATCTTATTAAATGTTATCATCCTGACTAAATATCATTAGTACATAAATAAAAATAGTTCTCTATTCAAATGCAAACTCTTTATAAGAGTATCTCCATTGATTTTTTTTCCTGGAGTGTACTTTTTAGATGTAATTTTAGGAAATGTAGACAATCGTATGGTTACAAACAGTGTTTCCTAAACTTTAGCATGCATTCTGCTCACTGGAGATCTTGTTAAAAATAAGATTCAGTAGGTATGCAGTTCAACCTTATATCCTGCATTTCTACTAGCTCTTAGGGGATGCTGATGTTGTCAGTTCTTGAGTAGCAAGAACTGTAGAATGTGATGCGAGTATCTGTTGTTCATTTAGGATTAAACACAATGAAGTTTGCCTTATTCACTACGGTCTCCATAGTTAACATAAGAAACTGCCATTCTTGATTGCTAATACCTTGAAAGCAGAGAATATTTCATGAGCTTAACATTAAGGTTTTAATTGAAAATATATGTAAAAGTAGAATGAATGGTACAATGAACACTCAAAGCAACCCTTAGTTTCAATTACCTAGCACATATTCAAAAACAGATTTTTTTAAGGGGCACCTGGGTGGCTCAGTCAGTTATGTGGCCAACTCAGTTCAGGTCATGATCTTGTGGTTTGTGGGTTCAAGCCCTGCCTCGGGCTCTGTGCTGACAGCTCAGAGCCCGGAGCCTGTTTTGGATTCTGTGTCTGCCTCTCTTTCTGCCCCTGCCCTGCTTGCGGGAGCTCTCTCTCTCAAAAATAAACATTAAAAAAATTAAAAAATAGATTTTTGTGAGATTTAGGAATAACTTTAGATTTACATAAATGTTGCAAAGATAGTGCAGGGTTCCCTTACCCATTTCCCCCAGTGACTTCTTAAATAACTACTGCACACTTGTCAAAATTGAGATACTGACATTGGTATATTTATAGAATGCAGATTTAGCTATATTCCAGACTTAAGGTCCTTTTTCTGTTCCTGCATTCATTCAGGATCCCATACTGCATCTGGAATATCTCCTCTGGTCTGTGACTGTTTTTCAGTCTTTCCCTGTTTATGATCCTGACAGTTTTGATACCGGCCAAGTATCTTGTAAGATGTCCTCCAATTTGGTTTTATCTGTTGGTTTATTTCATGATTAGACCAGGGTGATGTGCTTTTGGAAAGAACACCACGGAGTTGTGAAGTGCCCTTTTCATCACATTATATCAGGGGTATTGGATACCCATATGACATTGGTGGCTAAAGTAGCCTTTGCAGGTTTCTCTACTGTAAAGCTACTACTTTTCCGTTTCTATACTCTATTCTTTGCAAGTGAGTCACTAAGTCTAGCTCTTCTTTAGGGTGGGGACTGGGGGAGTAGAGAGATTAAGCCTCCTCACTTCCTATGAGAGAGGCATGTATACATATTACATGGAATTCTTTGCCAAGAAAGTTTCATCTCTTCTTCCCTCATTTGTTTATCCATGTATATGGATACATATATATGGATATACTCATGTATATCAGTATGGACTCATGCATATTTATTTTATTCTGTGGGTTATAAACCAATACTATTTTAATTAAAAAACATTTTTAATGTTTTATTTATTTCTGAGAGAGAGAGAAAGCGAGAGCAAGAGAGAGAGCGAGAGACAGCATGAGCAGGGGAGGGTCAGAGAGAGAAGGAGATACAGAATCTGAAACAGGCTCCAGGCTCTGAGATGGCTGTCAGCACAGAGCCTGACCCCACAAACCGCGAGATCATGACCTGAGCTGAAGCCGGATGCTTAACTGACTGAGCCACCCAGGTGCCCCCCAATATTATTTTATTAATTTTGTTTTTCAAATCAAATAGTTCCAGCTTTGGGCACTGGAAGATCTTTCAGGTTAGATTCTGTTCCTATGTTTGACATGTTCCCATCTTTTTGTTTTTTGAGCTCTTCCTTATTGTCTAGCATCACAAGATGCTCCAAGGTCATCTTCTATTTCTTCTATTCCAGTTTTATAATGAGCCATTTCTCCAAATACCCCTGATTTTTCTTTTATTTTCTAAATTTTTAATGTTTATTTATTTTTTGACAGAAAGAGACAGAGCATGGGGGAGGGGGGGGCGTGGGGAGAGAAGGAGACACAGAATCCCAAGTAGGCTCCAGGCTCTGATTTGTCAGCACAAAGCTCGATGCGGGGCTTGAACTCATGACCTGCAAGATCATGACCTGAACTGAAGTCGGATACCCAACCAACTGAGCCACCCAGGTGCCCCTAAAAAGCCCTGATTTCTAATAGTGGGGAGTGGTATTAAGAAGCCAAGATTGAGGCAGAGATGTAGTACACCTATTATAAAATTGTTCCCAGTCTCCTTAGCCATTTTTCCAGGGGAATCATTAAGAGAATTTTCTTAATGTTGTTATTAAAGAAAAGACTGTTGTAATTATTTTCAAGAGGGAGTATCAGCTGGTGGAAAGTGCATGACTTTGGAAACAGTCATACCTAAACTAAAATCCTGATTCTGTTCAATTAATTGCTTTAATCTGTTTCCTTATGTGTAACATAAGAATTAATAATACATCCATGGCAGACATTTTCAATTGTATAACTAATTGCCATTGTCTCTCATTTTAGCATTTACAAAACCCCATTTGGTTCAGGTAGCAGGTAGACACTGCCCGGGTGACAGAGCTGAGTAATGATTGGTATATAC